TCAAAGACAAAAAATGGCGAAATCGTCCACCAGAGCGATGCTTTCACAGGCTCTGTTACAACTGACGCTATAACATTGATAGCAATGGCAGAGTAATACTCAGAATTGAAGACCTACGAACAGGAACAAGGTAAACCGAATCAGCCATAAAAAGTCTTGCTATACGTAAATGTCGGTATCTTGATTTTGGTCAGAGTACGCCTCATATTGTTACTATCACAAAAACGTGAGAAATATGAAGTCTACTTATCGCTGAAGTGGCTAACCTTGTACTTCAAGTCATTCAATTGATTCCTGTGGTACCTCGTTTTCCAACTGAAGACTGGAAGATAAACTTTCACCAAGACGGACGCAGAAGGATATTGAAGATAGGAAACCTACCAAAAACAGTGATTCGCATTCTTTGGGTCCCCAAGAACGTAAGGTGTGATTAATTTCGTACCTCCACGTCGTATCGTAGATATTCTCCGCGTCAAAGGAAATTGTTAAAAGCGCAGCACAAAATGTAGCTAAGGTGATAGGTATCGTCTGAAACCACGTTGGATAGAAGTAAGCATGTTTTTTCTACAAGACAGACCTTTCGGTAGATGCTTTACCATTTGGTCTTGTACGTTATCTAGCCGCCGGTATAGTGCTTAAGTTCATTGGGATATTGGGATACTTTAGCTCCACCATTAACATCAAGATCGTGAACTCAAGAGGGCGATCATGACAAAAATAAACAAATAAGTATCTGAATTATGTACTAAAATCCTATTCAGACAGAGCGCGTTTCGCCGTGACACGACCGAGACGCAAGTAAACGTGTGCATAGGAATGGTCACGGACTAAATCAGTTAAAACATAATAAAAAGGAATTCATGTTAAGCAGTATCTAAGATACCTAGATACAATAACAATAAACAGAATATTAAAGTATATGCGAGATACGCCGAATCTTCATTAACCAAGAAATATCACAATCAATTTGCTACCTTAAATTGACAACAGGCACTTCTACATACATTTATAAAAACTGTTAATTACAGCCGAAAAAAACATAAAATACAATACGCCCTTGTTACTGAAATTCCAGCTGAGGATATCGATATGCAATTATGATTTGGTAAAGTTACATATTTCGTAATTGACTGCAATGATCAAAAAACTAATTTTTGACCTCGGTCGTTATCGTTTCGAACCCTTTTCAATTTTAACGGCGAATCGTTCGACTCGCAGACAACCGAAAGAGCTGTGTCTTCTCCTTGGCCCATAATAGTTGGCCAAACTTCGCGGGTGATAATCGCGTTCTTCCGAGAAGAGCAGTCTTCTAGCGGGGGCGGGGACAGAAGGTTCCAGAGCCGTCGAGGGTAGGTCTACATGGAAGGGGCGTAGCTACTGGGCGGGGTTAACGAAGGAGATGGCCGCAGTAACAGCAGCAGAAGCGGAGAGCCACAGACAAGATAGAATTCAGCGACGGGCACAGATATTTCGCGCTTAACTCATTGGAGAAGAAAAATAACTGTACTTTGAAAGAAAACACTCTAGCCTCACATCGTATAGAGATTAGATGTAAACGCGCATAGATGTTATGTATGCACTACAAAGAGTGAACTTCACGAATAAACAGTAAAGAGATATTGAACTTCACTTAATATTGGCACTCGGTGAATTAAAGTTAGGTTTTCAACATTAGAAACACAATGTAAAATTATTTACAAAACTCGCCGAAACAACCTGATCATTAGGAACGTTTCAAGAGTGCATGAACTGACACAGTCGTAGTTTTAATTTTATTTACTACAATATTAAAAGAAAATGAAACTCTGAAATGAAATAGAGGTGCTACGCAACATATCTTCCTCGTATTATTGGTAACATTTACATAATACAATGGCTGCTTCTATCATACTAACACATCTAACATCAATTGAGGAAGGAAGCACGAGAAGTTCGAAAAAAATGCATAACGTTCATTTTTAGACAATTCAAAAGTTTAAATGAAAATAGTTTTGTTATTGATTCAGTGTATTGCGCTCCATTCTGTATTCAACAGTTGTTAAAAAATGTTTACTCACGTTTGGATTCAAACTGAAGCGCTGCGGATGATAAGTTTACAAGCTAACCGTTGCGCTAAACACGTGAAAATATCTCTATGTATTATGCTATAATTGAATCGAAATATTGTAGTGTTTCTTACAGAAGTCAAAATTACGCGAGAAATACTGAGGAATAAATTACATTATTAAATAAATTTTAGCTTCTGGAACTCAAGTAAACGTGCACAGTTAATCTTCTCCCCCATTCGTCACATATAGGTTTTACTGTTTTTTTTACTAAATAAATCTAAATCTAAATCTAGCATAATCTCAGACTTTCTGTCATTGAATTAAGTGAATTGTGCTCTGTTCTTAAAGTGAAGTTCTTAAAGAGTTTAAAGAAGAGAATAGTTACCCAGATAGAATTCATACTCGAGCCCTATGTCAGTTCAAATTGATAGCCCAGATACCATTTCAGGTGTTAGAAACACTCCGTTCATTTTGCTAATAAGTTTTTAATATTGCGGTGTTTCTAACACATAACTCAAATTAGCGTGAAATTAACAATACCTTAAAAATGAATGGACTACATTCGTGTTCATGAATTAAGAACTAACATTAAGAAATAGATTTCATAAACCCTTTAACTGTTACGGGCCGGCTACCTGTGAGTCACGCCACTTGCAAGTCAAGATTCTTGCTACGGGCTCCGTTGTGAGCTCAGCTCGCTCGCACATATACAAGTGTACCGCGCAAGACATCTCAATTATCAGAAAGTCCTAGCGATAGCCCAAAGCACGAGCGAACTTGTCCAGAGGCTCCCGGGACATCGCGGTTCCGCGTACGATCACATCCAAAGGCTCCCAGCAACATCCTGAGTCAGGATCCTAACTCGTCCAGAGACTAACACGCAGGGAAATATTTTGCGTATTAACTCGTCTAGAGAAATCAAAGGGTTAAGAACGAAATCTCAAGCTTCCATATTGAGGAAGAGTATTTTAACTTCTGCCATCTTCGAAATTGCAGAGATTTTAATGAAAATATGATCCATGACAGGAGATTCTAGGAAACTGTTGCTCATTAGCGAAACGTGTTCTTAGATACACCCTGTGTTACAACCTAAAAAATGAGAGCAGCAAGATTCATCATTCATTGATTGATTTTTTCAGACCCGTCAACAGCTATGGTCATAATCCTGTTAGTGTAGTAAACCCGTTAGTTGTATCCCGGGAAGTGGTAATGTTCCATCCTTGCTGGATGGTGCAAATCCTACGCCGACATACATGCTGACTTGCGGGAATATCTCTCTCCAGGAATCTCGCCCCAGTGGGACATCACAGTCGCGACATGAGCGATTCAGTTGGCTTTACATCCTTCTAAAAGTCTGTGTAGTATGCTGAACTGGATTTCGCCTGCTGCATATCCAATTACACCAATGTTGCAGAATTTCTTATTATAAGGACACACTTCACTCATTTTCCGACAATTATGCCCAGAACTCACTGGCCTTCCACCAAACCATCATGATATTGACAACGGCTGAACTTGCATTTGTCAATTTTAATGATGTGGTTTTCGCAACCGATTTTCGGTTGTTTGAAGCAGAGGCGATGCAAACACATTTCTTTAAATGAATGAAAACATATTGCGATTGTCGAACCCGCAACATATGGTTCATTATTCCTTTCGCATTCACGACGAGTTCAGTCGCGATCTAAATAAAAATAGTACATTAAGATTAAGTGTTGTGCACATGAAGGGGCAGATTAAAAACTATGGCTGATATAACACATACTTTCTCGCATTATTTGTAAATGTTATAATACTAGTTAAACCTGAAAATATTTATAACCCGTAAAAAAACTATCGGGGCAGGGACGGAAACCAAGCCACCTAGGTTCCGTAAACAGGGACCTTCCCAATCCAGCCCGACACTATATCTAAAGCCATAGTTAAAGTTTTAGTAGCAATGGTTCGTTTTTAAATTTTAGAAAGAAAAACGTTTCAACAAAAATCTGCGCCATTTTTATTAACGTGTTTTGCTATATTCAGAGAAAAAAATAAAAATTTAACTATTTTTGAACACAAAATTGAAAATGACTTAGGGACTTAAGTATACATATAGCAATTGCTCTCTCAAACTCATGGCGAGATTTCGCGCTTTAGACATAATGAAAATACGACTGATAAACGTAGTATCATCAAAGAATTTGCTGCTATGACTAGAGGAGCACCAAAATCGATACATCGAAGGGAAACGACGCAGATGGAGTGGCGCTAACGATTAAGCAAGTATAATATTTTCATTCTACTGCCTGTTACTTCAGTGGATAGACGTTTCTGTGCGTCGTATGGCTGTTTTATACTCTGTTTTGGAGTAAGATTATAGCGTGATTTTGGATGTTAACACTGTATCAGGGTGAATTTGTTCGTGCTTTTCGACCTCCATCCAATTATATTTCCCTGAGATAATCACTTTTTTCAGGAATAATTTAAATTGTGATCAGGCGAGTAAGTTAGGCTACAGACAACAAAAGAATGCTGCCCTCTTCATTTGTATTAAACAACTGTACGTCGCCAATAAGTCCCTATGGCTAACGGTTTGATCCTGGCCTCTCAGGTGTCGGGTTGGTGTCTCAGTGGCATCGGTTGGAGATAAGGCGAGAGGTCGCAAACCTGAGTAAAGATTCTCTAAATGATGGAAAATCAGTTTTAAATTTGGAGAGGCTGCGACATACTCATAATCGATCGGGGAATGTCCATTATATCCATTTTGGTGAAAATCCTTTGCAAAGTTTAAGCGCTTGTGTTGTTCAAACGAGGACAACGGGCGGACACGCGTTTTTGACAAAAAATGCTTTCATTCTCAAGGGCTATACCATGTATACAAGAGAGTAAAAAGAAGGAAATAAAAGAAAATGAGTGAAAACAGTTGCTTGCGTAAGAGTGAGAGATGGATATAGAAGGAGCCGTGGAGCTTACTTGGAGTGTGCCTCTGGAAGCAGGTCATTCACAACCACATACACCATGGCGCCGGCGGCAAAAGACAGCGCATAGGGCAGCACGGGTTCCACGGTGCGGACAGCAGCGGCTCCCAGCAAACCGAAGAGGGGCTCCACCATGCCGCTTAACTGGCCGTACCTGCCAACAGAGACCAGTTCCTTCACTCAATGGCACGCACATGGCTGCGTCGCAATATGCACGGCTGAAATGGCCGGAAAGCGTGCACAGAATGACAAAACAATGTATGTTATTAACTACCGCCACTAACTACAGAAGAATCTGATGTCCGTTGATCAGGTCGCCCGGTTACTCAGCTGTCGGGTGGCGGCGCTAAAGACACAAACACCTCGCATACCTGGTCTCGCCGTAAGCTTAAACCTACGGAGGTGCCAGGGGATGAAGGAGAGCACAGGGGTTGCTTTAAATTATAAACAGAGAAAGAATTTAGTTGTAAATAAATTTAATTATCATAATCAAGAAGAAATTGACATGAATAACCACCATTTTGACAAAATAAAGAAAACAAAACAAAGAAAAGTAAATTACTAGCAACTACAAGGTTGATACACATCTTCGCTTTCAGTCTGACTTGCAGCAAAAAATTACACTTCTCGGTTGCGCCCGGAAGGTGTCCAGGAGAAGGCCCTCCGAAGTTGCAGGTTCCTGGAAGCGTGGTGCTCCGGTCCTGGCGGAGGGTGGAAGGAAGCGGCGGCGCATCGCGCCTTTGGATCAGGCAACCTGATTCCTCTCACTCGCAGGTCACCGACGTTCCTTCGACATGTGCCCGGAAATGCGGTCGTCGGCGAACGAAATTCCGATCGTTCACGGTCGCGACAACGTAGACTTTGCCCGTGAAGAAACCTGGTGGCTGATCCGTTACTCCCTCGTAACGTTCTGTCGCATAACGTATCGCTCGCCTCCAGCTGGTCGGGACGTGCCGACAGAATACTGACTAACAAGAGAATTTTACGGCAGCGGTAGAAGCACTAGCCATCGCGGTTGATACCGTACGTGCGAATCGCAGGCTGGCGTTATACAGCGGTGCACGGCACCAGCGCTTAGAAACAGCGTGGCCGGAAATAAAGTTCGGAAAAAGCGCCCGATCGGCAGTGAAGCCCGAAATCGATGGATCCATTCGGCATAATTTCGCAACTATCCTTTCTACCACCTAAGGTGGGCCCTTACAGCTGGTTCGTAAGTTTTGAACTAGCGAGTCTGGACTGCACTCTGGAGGGTGTGAAGATCACTCAGCAGGTTCAAAGGACGGCGTCAAGTGATTTTTCACTATCCGCATCTGGGAGAGAGAGTTCACTCCCGGACTGCTGGAAACTGGACAGAAGTAGGATGTGCATAGTTTTTATAAGCATACTTTTCTATGTTCGAGCAAAAAAAAACTGGTGCCATTTATGGGGAAATTTCGAAAATGTTGTTGGAGCATCACGTACATTATACCCATACAATTTTGGAAATTCCCGAGTTTTTAATGAAAATTTAATATGATCCATACAATTAGAAAACTCATTGCTCTATTTGAGCAACCAATTAAAAAAAGGAATAAACTCTTAGAAAATCTTTGCGTACTTAACAAAAACGTTACTATTTTACGGACATTTACGGCAAAACTACTCACATTTCGAAATAATTGAACATGACATTAACTAAATATATAATTTGAAGAGCCAGATTGATTAAAAAAACAAAAAAAATTATAATGTTGTACGTGGTTCCAACGTAGTTGAGTTACGAAAATAGTTCCATTCAAATAACAAAATACACATGTCGATGAACAATGTGTAATTGACTGATGTTCAGGTAAAAACAATTGTACACTAAATTCATTCAAACCTCAAATGGAACGTCCATTGAAATGGATTGAGTACAAATTTAAATTCATTATGCCACGCGTCCAGAATTCTTTAAAATTTAGTCAGCCTTCATTCTGCTGTGTATATTTCGCGAATATTAAACCCCCCTAAGATATGGCGTAATATTATGGGAAATCTATTCAACAGCTCCCATACTTTTAGGTTACAGAAAAGAATTGTACGAGTAATAAGCAAATCCCACCCACGTGATTCTTGTAAGTCTTTCTTTATCAAATAGGAATTCAACCATTACCTTTCTTCGTGATTTACGAATTATGAGCTTCCACGCAATTACAATGCATGCTTTAAGAAGAGAAATGCCATAAAACGGCGAGTTAAAACGATCAGTGATGATAAATGCGCAACAATATTTTATTGACAGTAAAAAGTATATTTATCATATTATATCATTTGCATTTGCACCATTTAACAGCCCTCGGTGGCTAGTTGACTAGCGTGCACGCTTTCCACAACGCAACCCCGGGTCGATTCCCGGTCGGAGCACAAATTAATTAGGCGCTTTCCTTGCAATGTCCCATTATCTGTTGCTGTGTACTGACGAAAATGATCAATTCTCAGGTTCAGAATACCAGAAATACAGCGTTGGCAATTCCAGAACGCTGCTGGTAGACCTTAAATTTAGATATATTTAGTCAAAAAACAGTAAAAACTGTATGTAACGTAGGGGGAAAAGGTTATCTGCGCACGTTTTCTTGAGTTCCATAATCCCTTCCAGTCATTTTAACTATAAATACTTGAAAGATGAGTATCAATATTCGAAAGAAAAGAGACGTTTTTGTTTCCGAGTTATAAAAAACGTATTTGCATCGGTAAACGAATTGTAAGTATGAGTTTTCTCCATTGCTAACAATAGTAACTCGTCCTTACCTCTACTTTTACCATTAAAAGCAAAAGGAGAGTTCAACAAAACGTGCGCATACTGAAGCTACATTAAGGGGCCATCTCAGCATTGGCTCAATGGACAGGGAAACTGGACAAAAACCTGATCGAGATGGGGGGGGGAGGGGTCATTGACCCGGAAGCTGAAGTACATCATTTGTACCACAAAATTAAGTCTTTTTAAAAAAAAATTACCACAACTAAGTCACTCTCTCTCTCTCTCTCTCGTATATATATATATATATATATACTTAAATATATATAATATCATATATATTATATCATATAATATATATATTATATATCACTATAATATATATATATATCTACATATTATATATATATAATATATAATATATATATATATATTCATTCTCTCTCCTCTCTCTCTCTCATATATATATATTATATATATATATATAATACATATATACTATATAATAATATATATATATTATATATTGTATATATCACTGTTTTGTTAAAATAAACATTTTTCGTTTTGATAATCAGTATAGTCTCTAATTGTATAGAAACAATAATGCAGCAGAAAAGATTTTACTTATAACAAATTTGTGAATCGATTTCGATCGTTTAATGTCATCTGGCAATGCGTTGTAAAGTAACGTACATTTCGTATTGTATGTGGATTTCTAATAGTGAACTGTTGATACTGACACTTGAAGAACATGATTTTAACGACGTGTGTTGTAATTATATCAGTATTGCATGAAAATATGTTCCCACCGTTAAGTAAGTGATTTTGGCGTTAAGTAAGTAATTTTGACAATTATTACAGATTCGTAAATAAATAGGCAAGGCAGTGGTAAGAGTCCAAACAGCTTAATAAAGAGAGGCTTGCAAGGGTAACGCGGATGGCATTTTTTCATTATTCTTTTGCAATCTAATGGTCTGAGTACTACATGATGCGTTTCCTTAGAATTTTATACCATATCTCAGGCAGGAATGTACACTTGCAAATATACGCAACGAGCTGCATGAAGGCTGACAGAATTAGAAAAAATTCTGCATGGGTAACATAATGAACTTAATTTAGTGTTTAATATGGTTATATGTACATTCTATTTGAGGTTTGATTGAATTGAGAGACCTAGAAATTTTGTTACCTTAACATCAGTTAATTGCATATTGTTCATTTTCCATGGAGCATACGATTGCTGGTTTGAAATGCAAAAATGCATTGAAACTGAATTTCTTTTATTAATTAATAATTTGTTATTATAAAACCAATTTGAAAGTCTGAAATAGTTTGTTTCTTTTTAGCAAAGAACATTCGTGTCATCGGCAAACAGACCCGTTCTTCCGTTTTTAATAGACGACGGTATATCGTTTACGTATAACAGAAAGAGAATATGACCTAAGATCGAGCTTTGCCAATTGAACCCCATATTCAATTGGTAAAGAATTGGAAAGATATGTAAATAAATTCCTTTCGTGCCAGTACGGTATTTCTACTCTTTGAGATAGATGATTAAGGTACGACGTTATCCAATCTAGGGTGATACCACCAAGTTCTTAAGAAGGTAATTTTGATAGCAAGATGTTATGGTCAATAACGTTAAAAGCTTTCGAAAGATCTAAAAATATTCCAATGGGTGCTTCATTTTGGTCTGTTGATGAAGCAACATCTTTAAGAAAAGAAAGAATAGCAGTTTCCGTAAATTTTGATTTTTTAAACCCATTTTGTGAGTGAAAACGCATCGTTTTTCCTGAGAAAAGTTTCCATTCGCGTATAGAAAAGCCTCTCTCATATTTTTGAAAAAACTGACAAAAGAGAAATTGGTCGATAATTTTGAATTTCGGTTTTGCTCCCTTTTTTAAAAAAGTGGCTTAAGTTTTGCTGATTTGAAAATATCTGGAAATATTCCTGTGCATAAAGAAGCATTGAAAATGCAAGTTAATGGGTGTACGAGTATAAAGGCAGGTACACAAGTTTTCAATAAACAATCCGGAAATCCATCTAAACCAGATGAATATTTTTTTTAGTAACTGACTATTACTAAGATTTCGTTTGAAAAAAGTTTCAGAAATAAACATCGTGTCGAAAATTTTTGGGAAGGAAATGATGTAGAATTTTGCGGTTTTATTCCCTTCGTGAATTCAGCCGCAATTCTAGAAAAGTGTTGGTTGAAGAGATTTGCCACTTTTTCCGGATTACTGGCTTCTCTTTCTTTATCCTTTAAAATAACATTCTCAATTAAGTAACGAGATGATGTAGTCGTATTTTGTACGATATTTCACATTGCTGTAATTTAGTTACTAGCGTTCAAAATATCCAGATTATTTTTCATTATTTTTGCCTGAACTATTACTTTCCTTAAGCTACTTTTGTATTCTCAGAAGTAGGCATGG